TCTTCCTAGATCTGGAACCAATATTTCCCAAAGACCTATAATCTCTCAGAAGTGGCAAAAAGATTAACATTTATTATTGGTTTTTGACTGAAACGCCTCTATATGAGGTACAGACATTTGACTATATTCTTCAACGAAATCTGCGTTAACGAAATAGTCAGAAGTGCGTCTTTCCTGTATTTGTGAATTCTCCAAAAAGTCACTGGAATGGACATTTTCGTATTTTGGCCATCCAAAACTGCTTGGCTTTTGCAATGTGCGGTAACCCCCATTCAAATGTGCGTGAGGATCGGGCGATAATTACGGCCTGCTGACAATTTTGCAGTTTTTTGGTCCATTTCCACCCTCAAATATATGGCGATCATCTCCAAAAAGAGTAGGCTTCTATTCTGACCCTCATCTTATCCCCATGCGAAATTTCGTAAAGATTGGGCCATAAATGCGATCTGTATATGATATCCTAACTACTTAGTTTTGTTAGCTATAGAAATATTACCAAATGTTTAATTCAAAATGAAAATATGCCAAAAATATGACAAAATTGAAAAAATATGAGAAAATTTTACAAAATCTATATTTTCATCTATTTTTATGCGATTTTTTAGATTTTTTTTCTTTCCAGCCAAGAGGCCATTCTGAATTAATGAGAACTGTCGAAATCTGTTCAGCCGTTCTCGACATATAAGAGATCTTTCAAGCATATCTTCTTTGATAGACATATAAATCGCACATATTTTGCTATATATCCGTTTTGTTGGATGTTAACATCAATGTAAAGATCAGAAGTAACCTTGTCATGGCTTCGTGATTTCGGCATGATTTAAAATATTTGCGGTTTAATGAAAATTTTTGCATTTTTTCAACACAAAAGATATGGTCTATTTTACCCGCTAAATATTATCCGATGACCACCCAATTTGGTAGGCTTCTTCCCCGCCCAAAACTCTAGCTACGTGCGCATTTCCGTGTCGATTGGTCTATAATTGCGACCTGTATAGCTACTGCAAAATCCGACATTTTTTCAGTATTTGGTCCATTTCAACCCTTAAACATTTGGCGATCATCTCCAAAAGAAATAGGGTTCTATTCTGACATTAACCCCACCTACATTTTAAATTTCGTGAAGATCGGGCCATAATTGCGACCTGTAGAGTGATTACAAATTAACATGGACAGACGGACAGACGGACGGACGGACATACATAGCTAGATCGACTCAGCTCGGCGAGCTAGGAAGATCCATATATACTTTCCTATGTGGGAAACCAATATTTCGAGGTGTTACATAATTTTTGGCCCAATCAAACTTATAATACCCCCAACACATAGTGTTGTAGGGTATAAAAATTGAAAAAAAATGTAAAAATTATGGCCTTGTATCCTGCACTCCATCAGTTACTATCATTCCAAATTTCTATGTGATTCCGTTTGTCCAATAATAGTTATTAAATTTTTTGCACATTTTAGTACTTTTCGTGGTCGATTAGTACGAATTTCCAAAACTCAGCCTTATTACACCCCCCTTCGCCAGTTGGTGATTCTCATTCCAAATTTCTAACTCATTCCGCTTGTCCAATACAAATTTATGAAATTTTTAGTACATTTTAGTACCTTTCGTACCCTTTTAGTACGAATTTTCAAAAACCCAGCCACACGCCCTTTTGCCAGTCTGTCAGGTATTCATCATTCTTCTCCCTTTTATACCCTCAGCTATATGGCTAGAGAGGGTATATATCATTTGATACCACCAAAACGTGCCTCATCGAAATAACGATTTCAGACCTTAGGTCTCTTCGAACCAAATCCGTTTTAGGGCATTTGGATTCGATCTAGCGATGAATAACCATAACAAAGTCAAAATATATTTAAATTGAACATTGGCCGAAGGTACACATCTGTTGGCAAAACCGACCGATACTTTGTAAATTGTTTATATAGAAGATAGTTTCTAAAGAACCTCTTCTGACCTCTTTACCTTTAAGCAAATTACTTCCTAGAGCTACCTCATTTTCAAGGAATCCTAGATAAACTAATCAACTCTTTAAAACCAATAATAAAATCATTCAAATCTAAGCTCTGCCATGAATACTCTGACGATTAATTCGAAGAATTACAAATACAATTACACACCTAAAAAACACCCTTCATCATTCATGAGTGATGGGCGGATGAGAGAGGGCGGGAGGAAGGGGAAAGACAATGACTGCAGCTCAGCAGTGCTCAGCCTGATGAGTTTTTAATAAGAAATCAAAGCTAAACACTTTTCTTTTCTTCTTCTTCTGCTTCTGTCTTCTTTTATATCCATAACAATTCTTCAGCATTCTTTTTATGCTGTGTTGATTATTCTTGCCGTTGTTATTGTTACCTTAAACCAAACATATTTGCCTTCAAAAACAAAAACAAACAAAAGAAAAAGACGAACAAAAGAGCGGAAGAGAAGGAAAACAAACGCCAAGTGAGAACAACGAAGAGGGAACAAAAAAATATGTTCAAAGCATAACTATCTTCATTGCTTTAATGTTGTTGACAGTATCTCCTAACGCTTGCCTTCCCCGAATGTTGTGCCATGCCATGCCATCCATGACCTTTTTTTGTTGCTTCTTGGAATTCTGGGAGAAAGCACTGATGGTGTTGGTGTGTGTGTGTGTGTGTGGGAGATGTATTTTGTGAGGCCCAAAACATTGGCATTTACGCATCTTTCTAATTATTCATGTGCATTTCAGCAAGTACATCAGGTTGGCATGCATGGAGAGAGAGGGAGAGGGAGAGAAAGGAGAAGAGAGCAAGTGTTTGCCAATGTAAATGAGATGGTCCCACAGTCATGTGGCACAGAGCGTAATACATTTGTAATGCAAGTCTCATTGAATGTTATGTTTTACTCTCTCTCTCTCTCGCTCAGAGAAAACTTTCACTTTGTTGGAGGAGGGAGAGATAGAACAAAAAGAGCTCTCACCTTATTTTCATTTCCATGGAATCCCAGATGGCCGGTATTTGTAATTTTAGACACTGAGAGAGGGAGAGCATCATTTTTTAGTTACAAAAGAGACTTTCCAATCAGGTGAAAGCTTTTTTCCCTTGATTCCCCCCAAAAAAATTTATCTAAACTGGAAATAAAGCTCATCCAACTCTCTTCATAACTGACCTATTGCCAATATTTCAATAGGCCAAGTAGCTGACATTTACTCTTAACATCCTTGGAACCTACGTCAACGTAACAACAACAGCAGCCACTCGGAAACGGAGACGAACAAATAAAAGGGGATAAAATATCAGAAAAAAGTTTATTTTCTTGGGTTTCCAAAGGGAAATTCTTCTGTTTCATTTTCTCTGTTTTGCTTTAAATTTTCGTTTGGTTAAAGGAATATATTCAAATGTTTACCAAAAACCACCAACACGTATAAGCAAACACACACACACATACACCCAACCATGGAGTAATAATAACATGTATACGCCACCATGTTCGGCTTAACATAAAATAATCCATAGCCTTTAATTTCTTATTTTAGGTAGGAGTTAAGGGAAGGGGAAAGGAGGATGTGTGGAGTGGGTGCTACAGTGGGTGGTAGAGTGGGTGGTTGGTTGCATAGATTGTTGCCCAAATAGTTTGTCTGACTTTTACAAAAGGTGTTCCCTTGCATTTCAGGAATTTCCATTAGAAATGTGTGGGGTTTTGAAAATTCAATCGTAAGGGAGGAGGTTGCTATATTGGATAGCATTAGTTTGTGTAACACTAACCTGCATGCATGTAGCATGATTATTATGGATTCTTAGAAACTGAAAAATATTAAACCCTGAGCGCATTATTTATAGTTTGAGTGGGGAATGCCAAAAAAAAAAGATTTTATTTCGCAGAATTGGTTCGTAATTCTTTGATTTTTTTTCTATTTTTGCTTTTTTGGTAAATAAACGAACAATTTTGTTACATGGATTACGTTAATGAAGTTGTGCCAATTACCCAGCCACTCAGTCAGCCAGTCAGCCAGCCATCCAGCCAACAAAAAACTCAATAAAGAATTTTTCAGAAATTATTTTAAATTGCTTACAATTTACAGTTCGATTGAAATGTAATTCGAGATAAATATGAACATACATATGTGTGTGTGTGATTTTTTTATTTTTTTTTTTTTTTTTTTTGAATTATGAGTGCAGCCAAAAAAGTTAAGCGGAAAATTAGAAAAAAAGTTTTGAAGTTCGAAGAAGTGGTATGTTTAATTAAAAAAATTATTATTTCCACGTATAAATTGGGAGATAACAAAAGATATGGAAATACTCGCTCTTGGAACTTGATCTGGATTGGATGCGAAAATTCTAATGAGAAAAGTTGGACGAAAATTGAAAATTGAGCACATATAAAAATGTCTTCAAAGAGAAGAAAGCATCAAAAGGACTTTTTGAGAAAATAAATAAAGGCAAAGAAAAATAAGTTTTTCAAAAAAGTTTTTCCAATTTTTGATTTTTTGGAAATAAATAAAAACAAGTTAAAAAGTATCAGTCGGTTTTGCCGACAGAAATATACACCCAGCCAATGTTCGATTATTTAAATATATTTTGACTTCTGTTATGATTATTCAAATTGTTGACCCTCTATGGAGCAGGTTCAGAAGGAATGAGCCAATATTGTACATTTCGTATAGGACCTCAATAAATATTATATAAATATTGCCACGTGCCAGGTTTGTAGTATATCGACTTCTTCCTTCTCTTTATAGGGTGAGATAAAAAACTGCAACAAAGTTAAATGCCATAATTTTTATTATAACCTCCACCATTCTGTGGAGGGAATATTAACTTTGTTATACCCTCCCCAACATACCAAAATGGCTTGAGAATAATATTACATTAAGCTTATGAACATAAGCCTTAAGCTTGAGAAAATCTTGAGAAAACATTGAAAAATGTTTGTGTAACAAGTATAGAATAATCGAAACGGAACCCTTATTTATAAGCTTATACTTGAAATTGTAGAATAAGCTTACAAAAATAATATTATAATAAGCTTATTTTTGTAATAGTATATAATATTATTATTTTTTTAATTTTTAATAATTTTTCACATTTTTTTCTTAATGGACATCCCAGTAGTCACTGCCTCATGTGGCCTTGATACCCTGACGCTTTCTTCTCCCTTATTTGAACTTCTGCATCTCTTCCACTAAGACTACACATCTATTGAATTCCTTCAACTTTTTTGATGCTTCCAAACTGAAATGGGATTGGAATAATTTATGTGAAAGATTCCCGGATTTATTATTCATGCATACCTTAAGGGTTCGGTCCAGAAATGGGTCCTAAATTCGCGTGATTTTGTTTTCTGCCAAAGAAAATAATTTCTTGCTGACAATTTTCACAAAAAATCAAAACTAATTTGTCAACAAGGGACAGATTTGAGAAATGTTTGTGGAACATAAGTGTTTCTCAAGCATTGTTGAAAAATTATATTTTTATAATATTGTTCTCAAGCTGCATTGTATTTTTGGTATGTTGGGTCCATTCTATTCTATTCTATGTAGGGTATATCAACTTTGTCATTCCGTTTGTAACTCCTTGAAATACTCATGTCAGACCCAACAAAGTATATATATTCTTGATCAGCTTAAAATTCTATGTCGATTTAGCGATGTCCGTCCGTCTGTCCGACTAACCGTCTGTGGAAATCACTCTAGCTTCCGAACGAAATTAAGTAGTTTGATAACATTTTACTCACATGTGTATAATGTCTGCAGGACTTTTGGTATTGAAAATGGGCCATGTAGGTCCACGTTTTCATATAGACCCCATATAACGGTACCTCCCGATATTCGGTATTTTGATGATTTTAACGGCATTATTCACCGGAAATGTTTTAAATTTCGTATTTGAAGTTCGAAATGGATACTACAGCCTAAGACAGAAAATTGTCTGTGCAGATCCACGGTTTCATGTAGACCCCATATAACGATACCTCCCGATATTCGGTATTTTGATGATTTTAGCGACATTATTTACCAGAACTATTTAAAATTTGGTATTTGAATTTCGACATGGATACTACAGTCTAGGATAGAAAATTGTCTGTGTAGGTCCACGTCTTCGTATAGCCCCCGTATAACGGTACCTCCCGATATTCGGTACTTTGTTGATTTTATCGACATTGTTCACCGGAATTGTTGAAAATTTGGTATTTGATGTTCGTAGTGGATACAGGTCCACGTCTTGGCATAGCCCCCATATAATGGTACCTCCATGTATTCGGTATTTTGATAATTTTATCTACATTATTCACCGAATTTTTTTCAAGTTTCTTATTTGATTATTATTTATGACAAAAGTTGCCATGCAGGTCCATGTTGTCGTATATACCCTAATATTACGGCTACATTCGATATTTTAAAGGTTTCGAAAGGATTTTTAACCGATTTTATTTATTTATTATTTATTTTTTTTTTTTTTTGGAAAATTGTGGAATTCGATTCAAATGGTGGACGATCCAAATTGTGGCCAAACTTAGAGCTGTTTGCTTTTTTATTTTATTTTATTTATTTATTTGTTTTATATTAGTATTATTATTATTATATTATTATTATTATTATTATTATTATTATTATTATTATTATTATTATTATATTATTATTATTATTATTATTATTATTATTATATTATTATTATTATTATTATTATTATATTATTATTATTATTATTATTATTATTATATTATTATTATTATATTATTATTATTATTATTATTATTATTATTATTATTATTATTATTATTATTATTATTATTATTATTATTATTATTATTATTATTATTATTATTATTATTATTATTTATTTTTTTTTTTTTTTGTGCTTCACCTCACCTGATGTGAGAATTATATTTTCAAAAGAAAAAAAACTGGGAGAGTACTCTTTTTGTAATAATCAAACTGTCATTTATGAGAAAAAGACATTCAAAGGATATTATAAGAGAGTAAGCTCATAATGTATTCCAAAAGAATGAAAATGACCTCAGAGGACCTTCAAAAAAAATTGTATTCTTTTCAAAGAAAACTCTGAAAAGATCCCATGTGAATAGACAGCCTTGAAATAATTGAAAATTTCCACAACGTCATATACTTTTCTCAACAACTACGAACCCTGCAGAGTCGATCTATATCAGGCGGAGTCAGGATCATAGTCTGTGTCGAAACCCGAAGTCCGCACGTGAAGATTGTACAAGATGGCGCAAAAGTAAATATCCGACGTATTCGGCTGTAAAAATAAAAACTTTGAATCATCTTGCGGATTATTTTTATTTGGTCTTCTAGTTGTTTTTACATCAAGTCGAGAATATGATGTGATATAAATGGCCGCCGCCACAGTTTATTGTCATTTGAGCCCTTTTTATGGCATTTCACTTTGGTCGTCGATAGGTCCCCATATGGAAAAGTCTGAGTCACAAAAAGAAGTCTAGAGGCACAGGCACAAAAAAATTGTCTTGACTTTGAAAATTAATGGTTTTTTCTTGGTAATGTTGTCCTATTATAGGAGAGCTTTATATACCATTTTCGTCCTGAAATATTGGAAAGGGCAAATTTAGCTGAAATTTGGACATCAATTTCACGTGTCCTGTATGATAGGATTATTCAAAAACCATATAAGCAATTCTTTAAAAATATTTATTCCCGAAAAAATGTGGAAGACTTTCCCAATTTAGCAACAACTTGGGAAGCCACAACTCCCTTAAATATATTCCATTTATATCAACAGAAGTCCTTGCACCAGCTACCAACACATTCTCCCCCAAAACGATTTTTTAACACATTTTGTTTTAAGTTAAACACAAATACCTTAAATTTTTGCTCTCTCTCCCTCCATCTTCTCTTTAAAGGGTTATTTAATATCTTCCGTTGCCAAAAGGGAGAAAAAATCTAAAAAAAAACAGCAACAACAACAGCTACCGCATCAACAATTCCAACTTTTTTTTTGCTCTGTGCGTGAGTGATGAACATAAAGATTTGTAAACTTCTTTCACAGAGAATAATTGTTGATTCAGCGGTTGGGGAGGGGAGAAAAAGCAGGCTGGGGAGAGAGAGAGAGTCGAGGAACTACATTATGATGTTGAGGGCCAGCATTCTTGTAACTGTAATATTTATGACAAACTTCCGTTTTTAATATTTCCCCAAACCCAAAAGGATATGATGGCCATCATCATCACCATCACCGTCTTCAACGTCGTCGTCATTCTCAGACGTAGCAACAGGACGACGAGAAATATAAAATTGTTGTTGCTGTTGCTGTTCTTGTCGATATAATGCTAATGTTTGTTTACTTTTACATTTATTTTATCCAACATCCAGATGTGAAACCTAGCAAAGATGACGATGATGATGGTGATTTTTCCCAGTACTTCAGGGGTGAGGGTTCGATAAGGAATAAATTTCTTGTTGCCATTAAACGGAAAGTAGTTTCTATGATATTTGCTGGCTACCCTGTGTCGTCGATACTTCTAAGCTTGAATTTTAACGCTTGAAAAAGGCCACACACACAAATCACCATCAAGTGTCTGCCGTCAATGGTCGATATTCCTGTGTTAGCTCTTTGGCTCAATTCACGTAATCCGTTGGCCATAAAAAAAACTTGGAGAACTCAGACACATACAAACACTTGAAGGGGAAGTAGGCTTTTTTACGAGTTACTGCACTCTAAAGGTAAGTGTTTTAAAGAGTATTTTGAACTGCTTTATGTGGAAAAGGACCAAAGGGCAACGTATGCATAGATCACCTGAAAAATGGATGGGCTAAGCTAGAAACTGAGTGCTTTCTACCGACGGGGGTTTGATGAGATAAAGTCCTATTTTCAAGACCTCCTGGTCTTTAATAGGAACAAATTCTGGTCTCGTCTTTTATGAGACGACCTTCCTACTGCTCTTCTCTGAGAAGACCAACCTTGTGGTCTTCTATGAGAAGACCAACCTTGTGGTCTTCTATGAGAAGACCAACCTTGTGGTCTGCTATGAGAAGACCTACCTTCTGGTCTTCTATGAGAAGACCAACCTTCTGGTCTTCTATGAGAAGACCAACCTTCTGGTCTTCTATGAGAAGACCAACCTTCTGGTCTTCTATGAGAAGACCAACCTTCTGGTCTTCTATGAGAAGACCAACCTTCTGGTCTTCTATGAGAAGACCAACCTTTTGGTATTCTATGAGAAGATCAACCTTTTGGTCTTCTATGAGAAGACCAACCCTTTGGTCTTCTATGAGAAGACCAACCTTTTGGTCTTCTATGAGAAGACCAACCTTTTGGTCTTCTATGAGACGACCAACCTTTTGGTCTTCTCTAAGAAGACCAACCGTCTGGTCTTTCATGAGAAGTCAAACCTTCTGGTTTTCTCTAAGAATAACAACCTTCTGGTCTGGACCTTCTGCTCTTCTATGAGAAGAAGACCTTCTGCTCTTCTATGAGACGAAGACCTTCTGCTCTTCTATGAGAAGAAGACCTTCTGCTCTTCTATGAGAAGAAGACCTTCTGCTCTTCTATGAGAAGAAGACCTTCTGCTCTTCAATGAGAAGACCTTCAGCTCTTCTATGAGAAGACAGACCTTCAGCTCTTCTATGAGAAGACAGACCTTCAGCTCTTCTATGAGAAGACAGACCTTCAGCTCTTCTATGAGAAGACAGACCTTCAGCTCTTCTATGAGAAGACAGACCTTCAGCTCTTCTATGAGAAGACCTTCAGCTCTTCTATGAGAAGACCTTCAGCTTTTCTATGAGAAGACAGACCTTCAGCTCTTCTATGAGAAGACCTTCAGCTCTTCTATGAGAAGACCTTCTGCTCTTCAATGAGAAGACCTTCAGCTCTTCTATGAGAAGACAGACCTTCAGCTCTTCTATGAGAAGACAGACCTTCAGCTCTTCTATGAGAAGACAGACCTTCAGCTCTTCTATGAGGAGACAGACCTTCAGCTCTTCTATGAGAAGACCTTCAGCTCTTCTATGAGAAGACCTTCAACTTTTCTATGAGAAGACAGACCTTCAGCTCTTCTATGAGAAGACCTTCAGCTCTTCTATGAGAAGACCTTCTGCTCTTCTATGGCGAAGACCTTCAGCTCTTCTATGGCGAAGACCTTCAGCTCTTCTATGGCGAAGACCTTCAGCTCTTCTATGGCGAAGACCTTCAGCTCTTCTATGGCGAAGACCTTCAGCTCTTCTATGGCGAAGACCTTCAGCTCTTCTATGGCGAAGACCTTCAGCTCTTCTATGGCGAAGACCTTCAGCTCTTCTATGGCGAAGACCTTCAGCTCTTCTATGGCGAAGACCTTCAGCTCTTCTATGCGAAGACCTTCAGCTCTTCTATGGCGAAGACCTTCAGCTCTTCTATGGCGAAGACCTTCAGCTCTTCTATGGCGAAGACCTTCAGCTCTTCTATGGCGAAGACCTTCAGCTCTTCTATGGCGAAGACCTTCAGCTCTTCTATGGCGAAGACCTTCAGCTCTTCTATGGCGAAGACCTTCAGCTCTTCT